ATGAGATAAATCTCAATAAGCAGACCCCTAAACCCCACATAGGCTAATGCGTACCCAGACGAGTATCAACATGCAACCTATCTAATGACATATTAGAAATCATGTAACGTACTTACCTCGCCTCAATTCCCACGCCAACTCTGCACATTAATCATGTCACTATAGCGCAAAAATAGCCCCAAGCACATATCACAATCATTCGAGCGCGCATACACACGTGCGTTCACCCAATTCAACCCAAACACATTTCACATGCGCATCCATCTAACTTTCTCACAACCCGGGTCAACACCCCTCAGGTCCTTTCTCACTGCCCGCGTCAATACGCCTCAAGCCCATTCTCACAGCCCGCGTAAACACGCCTCAGGCCCATTCTCACAGCCCGCGTAAACACGCCTCAGGCTCAACTTTCTTTCCAATGACCCGCGTAAACACGCCTCAGATCCAACCTTCCTTCCACAGCACGCGTAATCACGCCTCAGGCTCAACATCCTCCAACGACCCGCGTAAACACGCCTCAGGTCTTTTCTTGCCTTTCTCGCCACACCCGCGTAACTACGGCTCAAGTTGGCAGCCCTTCGATCAATCCGGACTTTTTCAAGCAAATACACATGCCATACAATTCAATCGAACCAAGTGCCAGTTGCGCGTCAAGCTAGCACAAGCACCACATCTATCACTGCAATTCAAGCTCACATAATTTGTGTCAACCCAACCACAATTGACCAACGCAAACCACCGCCAATCGAGCATTGAATCACACACGAACAACCAATACTCTTGACATAGATTCCACCATCAAACAAGCCATAAGTTCAGCCACAATTTCAGCCGTAACCCGCCACAAAATCAGCCACGCTTAGCACATCAAACAACCGAGATTCTAACAATTAAAGTCACAAATGCACACTCGCAATCGGTCAGCTCAAGGCAACAACAACCAGCCATAAAAACAGCGAACATTAAACACCAATCGAGTGTCAAATCAACCTAATAACCCAACAATAATTCCCCACGACACAACTCGCCACTCCGACACATTCTAATCCGCATTTCATTCAATAACCCAACCAACGTCACTTCCTCATCCCGCTACGATCCAGCCATCAAAACAACAAGCAACATACGCAATTCGAGCACCAAATCAGCCCACCCCTCCAGCAACGCTCAACCGCAACATAGCTCGCCATTCCAACACGATTTAACACACATTTCACCCGATAACCCGATCGATGTCACCCCATCAAACCAGCCATCGAGGCCCGCCATAATCCATCACCAAATCAGCCATAAACAATTCAAAATCCAACCATAATCAGTCCATCAATCTAGCAACCCAATCAGTCCTTAAACAGCCCTCAATCCACGCTAATTGGTCCCTAAACAAGTCTATTAGTACCCAATGTCCTAGACAAAATTTAGGGAGTTGCTTACCTCGACTTGAGCAAAAAAACGAGGCTGGGCAGTGGGGGAAATCGTCGGGAGAGCCGCAGCGGCGGCGATTGACGAGGCTCTCAGCCACGGCCGGGCGACGGCGGTGGCAAGGGAGCTCCGGCTGAGGCGGCAGCAGCTCGGCGGCAGTGGGGGCGAGCAGGGCCTCGCCGGAACAGGGGAAGGGGAACAGTCGGGCTAGGGGGTCAGAAGTAACGGACGGCGGCTCCGGGCTGGGGCGTGCGGCGGCCGGAAGAACGGCGGCGGCGCACGGCGGCTGGGTGGGCGACGGGAACAGGACAGGGGGGACGGAACAGGGGAAGGGGCGGCAGAGGGAAGTCTCGCCAGAACAGCAGCGGATCCGGCGGCTGAGGGGGGAGCTGGGTGGCGGCGACGAGCCGGCGAGGGCGGCGGTGGCCAGCAGCGACGGCGGCGACCGGTCGGTCGGGCGCGGCGACGGCTGGCAGGCGAAACAGGGGAAGGGAAGCCAGAACAGGGGAAGGGGAGGTCGGGGTGAACCGGGGAAGGAGAAGGGGGCTGCGGCGGCAGTGGGGGCCAGCGGCGGTCGGCGACGGCACGGCGGTGCTGCAGGCGACTGGGCGGAGCAGGGCTGCCCGGCCGACGGCTAGGCAACGCCGAACAGCGGCGCCGAGCAAGTTGCTGCTCGCACGGAGAGGATGGTGGCCAGCAGCGATGGCGAGCGGCTCACCGAAAGGCTGGGCGACGAGCGCAACGAGGAGGGGGAACGCGCGGCGGCCGGACGAACGGCGCACGGCGGCTGGGCGGTGAGCGGCAGGCGAGCGTGCGGTGGAGGGGAAGAAGGACGATCGAGCCAAAGGGAGAGGGGAGAGAGAAAACGTGATGGGAGGGGGGAGAGAGAGAGAGAGAGAGAGAGAAAGGACAGACGGGACAAGGGGGAAAACGTGAGCGGGAAAAGAGAAGGAGAGAGAGAGAGAGAGAAAAAGAGAAAAAGGTCAACGCACTCGATTCCGATCTAACGGACACGATTTGAATCCGGAAACGATTCAATGGTCCACGAAAATTTCTAATTAATAATATAGGAAAAAGGACCAAAAGAAATAATTCAAAACACACTACGAGGGAGGTCTATTAGTCTAAATTCGCATCCGGTCAAAAATTCACTTTTCACATATCCCGGGTAATCTCGAGGCTAGCCACAATAATATCGACACCGTCCAATTAAATTCGTCCCGAAACTTCGAGAAATTCGACACCAAAATTTGGGCTCTAAATAACGGTCAAATTCGATCGAGTGCGATTGTAGCGAAATCTCTAATTTAAAAAGAATAACCCAGGAGTGATCAGTTCCGGGCGAGATTTTATTATAAGCGCACTGACGAAATACCCGTTTTATAAATCTCAAAAATGGGTCGAAATTCGGAATGTCACAGACCTTGATAAAGGGTGAACAAGTAAGATAGAATGGGAAATTCATGGCGACTTGGAAGTACTATAACAAGGTTAATAGTTTAGTGAAACCTTGATCACTAATGTACTCAGAAAGATCAAATGGAAATTAGTACATAACTTAACTACTAGCGGGAAGTTTTGATAAACTCACGGATTGTTGATAGAAGCAGTTTTCTATATCACTCGTGAAGGACATGTATTTCATGTGTCGATGCAAATCTGGAAGACTTGTATATTCCTTTGACTAATATTCTAAGTCTAATAGAAATTGATAGATAACCTCAGGTTTGTCAACCCATTCTTGCATATATTAAATTTGTCTTATTCCATCAAAATTGTTGAGTTTTTACTAATCAACCTATTCACCTCTTCTTGGTTGCATAATTAGCCACAACATCATGGACGTGCAGGTTTTGAAAAAAAATCTTAAAATTTAACAAATTATATGGAAGTATGATTTCTCAGCGGATTCTGATACATATAAGCCATAACCTTATAAACTCTACAAATGGATAAACGATGTTGCGTTGGACTACACTAAAACCAGGTCATATTCGTTTGCTTGCCTTGTCCATGCAAAGCCACCACGTCGGATTTTTGACGGCTGTCCTATAAAGAGTTGTGACTAAAGGTGTTGATCTTCGGTACAAGTTTGGAGTATTGACAATATGAATAAAAAGGTTTAGGGTATTGTTGTCACAGTGGGCAAAGTCAAGAGTTTTTGTGATAGATGGAAGGTATTTTTGTCACACTTGTAAAAGTTTGGGGTATTGGTGACATTAAAAAAAATTGGAGTATTGGTATCACAGTGAGCAAAGTATAGGGCTTGCGGTGGTAGACCCTTTGTCATATTCGTACAATTTTGGAAGTTTTATTGTCAAAAAAAATTCAAGATAATGATGTCATATCGGACATAATTTATGACTTTTTATACTATTTTATTGTAAACCTAAGATTGCCATTTATATAAGAATTTCCATTTATATAAGAATATATATCCTGCTATTTATTTATTTTTCATATCTTTTATCAGTTTTTTGTCATTTTAATTGGGGGCTGACTTGGACTACTATTCTATTGTTTCTCCTTCTTGATATTTGAGATGTGCAGAAGGAACCAGGGTTTGTGGACCAATCATGCATAAATGGAAATTCAAAGCTTTACTTGATAATACAGTCTAATTTGATGAAATTGGCATGTCGGATGATTAATTTTATTGTCTATATATGATCAATTCAGATTCCATCATAATAGTAGAGTGGGTTTAACATCTCAAGTATGCTCTTTTTGTAGTGATGAAACACTAAGATTGAAAAGCAAAATTTTAGGGTCGGGAACTGGCGGCGATCGAGTGAGCAGTGAACTTACTATCTCGATTGAAATTGCATGAGCCATTTTTTTTAACAACCTAGGGGCACAAGTGTAGTGCCCGATTATCTAGAAATCCGCAAAACATCCTTATAAACCCTATGAACCTATTTAGTCCAGACCTTTAACATGTGCAATATAATGGTGGATATTAAGCAGGTACCTCCATTTCCTAAGCTGGAAGCACCGGCACTTAACCAATTGCATCAATTCTATTCATTCACAAGCAATTACTTTTTGTATCTCTCCATGGACATTTTACTTTGAATAGACAAATTTGGAAGATTTCTCTCTAGCAAAATGTCTCAATTCTCAACTGGATTTTTCTTTTAAGATGGGAGACATAGATGGTAGGAAGTCTCTACTTGAACATAGTTGCTCTAAAATTTTTTCACACTATACATCAATTTATGCTTATCATTCAAGTTACTTACCTGGTCATGCCCACCTATTCGAAAAATGAAAATTAGTACAAAGGGAAAAAAACAAAAAATGAACTAATCGCTAATTTCGATTTCATAGTATCCGAGAAAACTAAATGTAAACTAAGGGAAAAGCATGATGTCTGGTATATTATCGGGGTATGTTTTCTCTGTAGAAATTAAGTGGTTCCATTATACACCAGACATCATGCTTTTCCTTTAGTTTTCTTTAAATATCTATCGAAGGTTTGATACAAGCATTAAATTTAGTCTTTAAATATCCATAGATCGGCTGCTTGAATCTTATTCATGAATGATCAGCCGGTGTTTCACAGCGGGCTGAAAAAATCATCCAGATCTATATAGTCTACCCTTGGAGCACCTGTTGCCGGCGGTGAGGCGGTGCAGCAAAGTCAGCTCCGAAGTTCCCAGCACCGTCGAGTCCCTATGATGATCGTTTACCTACGCATGTAGTAGAAAAGGAAATGCATTCACCTGTCAAATGATGTCGATGCCATACAAGAACCAAAAGGAAGATTAGAATATGAATAGTGGCCGAATTTTTTCATTAACCAAGAAGGCTCGTACAAGTTGCTCATATCTGCTTCCTTTTTTCTTTTTAACAAAAATTAAACTAAGATATATTGAAAGAATTTCGAGTAAGACAACTTAATGTTGCTTTTAACTTTAACTAAGATAACTGATGATGTAATATGAGTGAAATGCCATCACACGACCAAATTAATCTTCCTGGAGGATGCAAATTCTGAAGAATGCACGCCGAATATCACTGAACTATCCAAGAGATAGCAGGCCAAGTGTCAACGGATGCCTTTCAGGTAAATTACTGTTCTGACTTCCTACAACGAGAAGCATTGAATTGATCGAAGCATGGCATGATATCAAATCTTACCCTACTATTCAGATAGATGGTCTGGTTCAGACGAACAGGAGCAGGAATTTGCCCTTCTGGAACATGGTAATGTATCTCGCTAACCACAACATCCTCATGATTGCCTCCTGGAGCAGCTTCATATGTGAGCACTCCATCATTGCGAGCACTCAATGAGCTATTCCCGGTCCAAGGCTTCGCAGAAAGTCGATAGAGCATGAAAGAAGCCTGCACATCAATAAAGGGGAAAGGTTTAACTTAATGAAGGAAAGGTTCTAGATGTTCTATGGTCATTGAACATTCTTGGTTACGTGGCGTGCTTGTAGATTCTCTTTTCAAGGTTTTGATTTAAAATTACTACTTACAAGTACAGACTTGGATTGTGCTCAATATTCTTAGTATGAAGACGTTGGTTGTTAATAAAAACCAAAGCGTTATAGCTCTTGCAAGTAGTATATCCAGAATTTTAACCTGTAGTTAGGACAATTCAAGAATCTCCCTAGAGAAGTGATCATGATGCATTCCCATTAGAACAATCGAATTTCTGCTTATAAATCATCCAAACGATGCTTAAAAAGCCTCCTGGATTACACAGTCGTGCAAAAACCTGTCAAACTGGGGAGAATCATTCAACATAACAGGTACTTAACCATGCAAATTGTTATCAAACAAAAATTGGTGCACACATGGAATTCACATAGCTCTAATAAAACGGGAAAATATTGCTCAAGAATCAGAATCCCTATAACAACTGACGATTGGAAAAAGAAAATGCAAAAGCCAAACCACATCGTACAGATGAAAATTCAACTAAAAGCTGCCACTAATCAGGAGGGAAGCATGCTTATATATACATAAGCGAAATTTAGAATCATCATGAATCACCTGGGCATGATCAGGCAGGGCAAATTCATGCATCGTCCAATCAGTCCTAACAGCATTGTGAACTGAAGTCCCCATGAAGAAAACAAGGCAGCTCTTGGTACCCAGACCTTCACCACCAGCACCCAAGACAGCATCGTTGCCCCTGCCCCACATCAGCCAGAATCCGCAGTTCATGGCCCTCATCCTTCTCTGGCTATCGGCTGGCCCACGAGTTGCTGTGTAGAAGTACCAGTGCCTGGTCGCCTCCCCAGAGCCGTTCTCGAAGTAGGGATTCTCCAATAGCTCCGACGGGCTGTAGCCATACACGTCGAGCTCCCTGATCACATTGTGATAAAATCGGTTGGCCGGGTCAGGGTTCAGGTGGTCGTCCTTGTTCACCAGGTAGTTGCAGAAGATCTCTTCATCAGAAGGGAAGAAGCGGAAGCCCAGCGGCAGCACGGGCATTGATCCCACGTTCTTAGCATCCCGGTCATTGTTGTCAGGAATGCTTTGGGCAGCCATTGTTGAGAGAGAGAGAGAGAGAGAGAGATTTGACGGTTTCAGCCAGTGAGAGAAAGAAGAATGAAGTGAAGAAGAATGAGGGAGTGGAGGCTTTTTATAGGGGAAGAAGAAAGAGGTGTACAGGAGAAGCAAACGAGAACAGGTGCATGAGACTGAAGTGTTCTTTTCTTCACCAAAAGGAAAAAGCAAAAAAGGACATCCTTGTCTGGCCCTAAAAAGGCATGCCTTATTTGCTTGTCCTGTTTTGGCATGGGTAGGTAGGTGGATAGGATCGAGCAGTTGGTCTTTTTCTTTTCTTTTTCTCTTGTTTTGGCAAGTAGGAGGACAGAAATGGATGTGGCAAAATAAGAAAGAGCAAAAAAGGAATGTGGCAAAAAATCTGGACCAAAGAGAAACAATTTTTTCCTCTTTTTAACTTCTATTGGCAGTTTCAATCTTATCCTTTGTAAAAAGGCAATTAAATCTAGAGTAATTATGACACATTCTGATGTAGATAAACTTTTACACAAATAATTTTATACATGATAATACCTTATCTCAGCTTATGTAATATTTGAGCAACTAAAATCATAGTATTTGTTTTTATTAAGGGCAAAATCTACTAAAACCCCTAAATTATGCCTACCATGATACATTTACCCTAAATTTTTTCTGTGACAGCAAAAATCTCAAACTTGTACCTGCATGACACATTTACACTTCGTCAAAGTTTTGTCACCAAGAATCATTAAAAATCTACCTACATGGATGCTAGAAAAGCAAACAATATTGACATGATGCTGACATGGCTTAAATTGTGACATCCTAAAAATTGGTTCATTTGGGATTTATGAAATACTGAATTTTATGAATGTACTCGTAGTTAGTTCTCGCCCGGAACTGATCATTCATGGGATACTAATAATTAGGGAAAGGCTAATGGGGGATTTAAATTCGTGCGACGAAGAGAAAATTCGATCGTGAATTGATTTTCGACCATAAAATCGCCGAGGTGATATTTGCAGCCACTGTTGGCCGATCTGAGGATAACTGGGGGTCAGTTCACCACTGTCATAGTAGTGGATCGCGGGTGATTCCGCTGGACCACGAAATAAATTGACAAACGGTCCTGAACTTATACCAAACGATCGTGCCCCTCGGATCTAGTCATTGACCCTCACGATTTAAATGACAACCGAAATCGTCACGAACCGAACGAACTTGCACGTGACTCAATTTATTATCAGTCACGGGTCGAATATGCGAATTTCCCCAACAAGCCGCCCGTTAGTTTGAGAAACGCTCGAGTTACGTTTAATAACATTTAATTATTTAATTGAGCTCAAATTGGACATCGGAAAATTAGGAAGTCACAACGGGACGTTAGGACGACGTTGCGGTTGTAACGTGCAATTTTGGATGCGCCCGAATTCTTCAGAAAAATTCATTTTCGATGAGAAACGGAGAAAGTGACCATTTTACCCTTGGGAATTAATAAAAGGGCTAGTTTTATGGAGCAAGGGCATTTTGGTAATTTTGCCCCAAAATTTGGAAAAGACACTTTTGCCCTTGGACTTTTTGAGAAATTCCAAGATTACCCTTGGATATTTTGGATAAGATTCGATCTGGGCCGTCGATTTCAAGATAAGATCGAATCTGGACCGTCGGATGAAAAGATTAGAGAGGGGCATTTTGGTAATTAGCCAAAAGTAGACTTTTTAAAAGATAAGTCTCTCTCTCTCCTCTCTCTCCCCTCCCATTCGGTTTCCCCCCACCACCGAAAACCCCCCCACTGTGAGCTTCCCCCTTCGGCCGCCTCTCCCCTCGCCGATCGCCGCCGTTCGTACGCCCGCCGGACCGCCGCCGCCGTGTGCCGCACCACCCGTCCGCCGAGCCTCACGCCACCCTCACCCCACCGTGATTCTCTCTCTTCCTCTCGGTTCCTCTCCCCTTGGCCGTGAGCCAACCGGCCATTGCCCAAGCCGCCGCCGTTCGCCGATCGCCGCCAATCATCACCGCCGCCGCAAGCCGCCGTTAGATCTTGGTTTTGCCGCCGCTTTCGCTCTAGCCGCGTGAGTCTAGAGTCGGGTAAGTCGCAATCTAATCCTTGCCTAGGACATCGGGTATTAACGGGCTCGTTTAGACTCGGTTTAGTGTAGTTTTATGGGCTGTTTAGAGTTGGATTAGGGGCTGATCGTGATGGAATTAAGTGCTGGAATTGTGGACGGATCATGGCTAAGAAGTGGCCTGGATTATGGTGATCTAGAGACCAATTTCGGGGCTAGTTAAGGCTGATTTATGAGCTGGGTTAGAGCTAGAACTTGAATTTTTGAAGTTCGGTGTGAATCTCGGATTGGCGGTTATTGTACGTCTTCGATTTACTATTTTTGTGGAGAATTTTGTGGGACGAATTTGAAGAAGTTTTCTTCATGAAAGTTGCTCCCAATATCTTGAAGTATAACATATTTTAAATTTATAATTTTTGGAGGTCATTTGGGTCGCACGAATACCCATTCTAAGACCGTATCAAAACTGCCCGGAACACTGTTCATCCCGACCTTCGTGTTTTTCCGAATTTTTATAAAATATTCCAGATCTATTTTCAACAAACTTCCTTCACAAAATTTGTTGATGACTTTCTTTTCTATGACATATAAAAATTTCAAGGCTTTCTAAGGTGATTCGGGTACTGGATGAGATGCATTTTTATGGTCAGGCGGCCTGACCGGACGGGTTGATTTTCATCTGACTTCAAGTGACCAAAAGAGGTGTTTACAGTTGGAACTGGGTTTCGAGTTCTTCACAGAAAATGTTTATCAAGATGTTTTACGCAACATATCCAAATTTCAGAATTTTTAGAGTTCTTTTACTATTTATTTGAATGGGATTTCGGTCACTGTGTAAACTGCCCAACTTTACCTCGATTCTTTGGATGTTCGTTTTTATGAGCGGAATGGTGGGGGTGTCGAGGTTGAATAGTTGCTGCCCTTGTGACGGGAATTGATCTTGAATGTGTGTTTGCATGTGGATGGTGTGTTTGTAAAGTGGTTGTAGTTGTTGGTTGATTTCTGAATGATTGTTGGGCTAAATATTGAGTGGCCGTATGCCCTGTATGTATGGCCGTGAGGTGTGTGGTGTGATTTCGAAATGAGCTCACGTGTCAAGCATGTGTGATTGTGTGGTGTTTGTATGGCAAGGATGTGCATTTGCGAAGTGGGTGTGAGGCGTGAGATTGTGTGTGGCCGTGTGTACGTGTGGCCGTGTGAAATGAGTGGAACGAAGGTATGGGAATGTAGGATTGGTTGGAAAAGTGATACCCTGAGGCGTGTTCGTTTACGCGGAGTAAGTTCTGTCCTGAGGCGTGTTCGTTTACGCGGGACGATGCCGTCCCTGACGAGGTGACGATGCTCGGCCCGACGGGGTGACGATGCCTGACGAGGTCAGAAGACCGTTGGCCTGATGCGTTTTACGCGGGCGCGGTAGAGAAGGAAAGTTGAGAATGTAGGATTCCGTCCTGAGGCGTGTTCGTTTACGCGGGACGATGCCGTCCCTGACGAGGTGACGATGCCCGGCCCGACGGGGTGACGATGCCTGACGAGGTCAGAAGACCGTTGGCCTGATGCGTTTTACGCGGGCGCGGTAGAGAAGGAAAGTTGAGAATGTAGGATTCCGTCCTGAGGCGTGTTCGTTTACGCGGGACGATGCCGTCCCTGACGAGGTGACGATGCTCGGCCCGACGGGGTGACGATGCCTGACGAGGTCAGAAGACCGTTGGCCTAATACGTTTTACGCGGGCGCGGTAGTGGTGGAAAAGTTGAGAGTGAGTCGGATTTGGTTTGACGTGTGAGGTTTGTGAAAGTCAACGCACGGCGAGAGTTAGTGTGTGTGCGTGGTTTGCCTCGCGTGATATGGTGCTGGATGAGTATGGATATAAATGAATTGGCTGTATTATTGTTTGACATGCAGGGATGTGCATGATGGATCCCAGGTAGGATCGCATGTGATTGTTAGTACGATTGTGTGGATGTTGTTTGTGTGTTGCTTGATTCGGTGTCTGGACTTGTCTGGAATACGTGGTAGCCTAGGTAAGGTTTAGGTTGTGAACTTATTGATAAGTGTCTCATGGTTGTTTCAACCAAACCATTTCAGAGCACTCGCCCGAGCCATGAACCTTCCGCCGCCGTCGCAGCGTTTTGGAACTGTTATGCACTCTGATCATGATGTGGTAGAATTCTCGATCGAGATGGAGGCCGATTCGGAGTCGACGGATGAGCACTTGCCTGATGAGGATTCGGATGAGGATTCCGAAAAGAGTGAGTCAGAGCGAACGCCATCTAGAGGGCGTAGGGATTAGCTTTGGAGCTGAGGAAGAGTTTGGAAGTGCCCATTTTGGTGTAGCGTTACCCAGGCTACTAATCTTTTGTGATAACGGGGGTTTGCAGTTTAGTAGTCCAATGTGCATATTTTGCTTTGTGGTTTGTAAATTGGCGGTTGTGGCATACATTTATGTTGTAAATGGATATTGTGCTTAATTCGAGGTATAGTATAAGATTTGGTGGTTTGGCAATTTATTCTCCCTAGTACCCTAGGTAAATTATTGTTTGGGTGTTTGATGTTTCCGCCGCGATTAAACTCTGATGGGTTAATTTGGGTCGGCGACGTTTCCTGGGATGTCACACTAATTCGACCGAAGAGGGATGTCGCGTGCTCGATGGGGTTCGGGGCATGACATAAATAAAATAAAAACGATATTGTTTTGGCTGAAAAATTATCTAGCGAAACCTTAATGGTAGGTTAATGTGTTACATAAGTACAAGTTTTGGGGTTTTTTGTGATGTCCCATAACATCACGCGCAACATGTGTCCTTCCCAATTTTATTTTTTTAATTTATTAATAGCACGCGGAAGCACAACTAAATTTTTTCATCATGCCCAACAAGAAATCGCTCGAGTTTAATAATATACATATGCATCTTCTTTATAATAACATCAATATGTACTGACTTGTTACAACATTAAGC